TCCTACTTTTAATCCGGCCCTGAATTTTTAAAATTAAAAAGTTTTCAAAAATGTTTTAAACATCTCGTGGGCTGGGTACGGTCAGCGGGCCACAGTTTGCCCACCAATGTTCTACCTTATTAGTACATGGCATTAAAATTAACATTGATGTGTTACCCCTAATGTATTGTACTCCTGACATTTGTTACTGGTTGTAGTGCAATTTGCAAACAATGCTGTATTTTAACGTTTGCAAAATTTTGATATGGCTAAAAATATGCATACGTGTTGAAATTTTAATGGACAGGACAAAAGACGCTGACAAGTTTACATTTTATTTTTCTCTTCAGTTCATTTTAATCTTTAGCGTTATTTTAAAAACGCTATTATCAACTAAAGTTGACTTGGTAACTTACAGACAAACATCCACAATTGCAAAAGCACGAACACGTGATTGTAAAGTTAAAACATGAACATTGAGAAAAACAGACTGAATGCGCTTTCAGAAACATATTTAACAGTAAATACGCGTATATAGCGTTAAAGTTTTTTGGTCACATCATGCGGAAGGAAAGAATGGAAAATCAACAACGAATAACATTCGTGAAGTCCTTGTGTCACTTGTTGAATATCACAAAATTTCAACGACTACAAAATGTTAAAGATCTTCTTTTGTGGAGGTCGATGGTAGCCAATGTCCTGAAAGGATAAGGCACGAGAAAGAAGAAAACTCGTCTATTTTACACATAATCATTTCCATTTTTTATTGTTGCTATTTTGAGTGGAAGGATTTTTATTATTTTCATCAATTACATACATTCACCATATTTGAAATAACTTTATTCACCGAATGAAATTCAATGCTATTAAAAATGCATAATTTTAACGAATTTATTATTAAACCAAATTGTTTTTTTACTATTTGAGAACATCAGAAAAAATTGATTGATAGCAGATTTATTCAGATTTTTATTTTTCATTGGTTCCTTCTTTTAAGAAAGTTCAGCGACTTTTCGTCCTAGATGAGTCAACTGGACATCGTCTTTATCAACAACTACGCCAGTTTCCGCACTGGTTGTTTATAAAATGGTACAAAAGATTATGAAAAACAATGCTTGATAACAATTAAAACTTGAAACAGTTTGCAAGAAACACTAAATCCAAAAATGAACAAACGGCATAATCTTTTTTGTCGATTGGAGTAAAGTCGACGAAAGTTGAACCCTGTGTGCAGGGCTTGCTTTCGTTAATCGTAAAGTTTATCCTCATCTTCAAAGAGCCGTTTCTAAATTTTGGGTTTATAATTTTTATTTAAATTATCATTTTGCATATAAAATTAATTGGTATTAACACATTTTACTGTAATTGAATTTTGTTAAAGTTTTTTTTAAAATAAAACCGTTATATTCAATAAAAATAATTTTTAAAACTTATTATACTGTGAAAGTTAGCTCTTTACTTTGTCAGACTTGACTCTTGTAAAGTCCAGCTGTACAATCCAATACCAGTGTTGTAGCTTCCAACGATCGTCAAGTGTTCGTTATTACGTAGGTTCAAGATTTCCGATAAATGAACACAACTGCTTCAAACGCAAACTTTGATGAACGTTCATTTGAATGCCAACCGCAATATAAACACTAAACTAATCCAATATATAAATTCCATTTAAAACTTTGCATCACACCTCGCTGGAAACCTGACTGGAAATCTGTGTCTCTGCAGGATCTTATATAGGCTTCTTTTAACGATCTTTTACAATATAAAGATTACAAATATAGCAAAAATAACAATAATTAAGACAACAAGTAACATAGGTAATTTGATCATTCCGGCGGTTAAAACAATGCTATAATAAAATCTTAAAAGGCTGAGCATTTTGTATTAATTTTTGTATTAAAGAGATCTATAGTTATTTTATTTTAACTTTATATATAAATATATATATATATATATATTTATAGAGTAAAACTTTTTGTCAATCAATTTTAATTTTTTTTAAATATTTTTGATCTTTGTAAAGTTTTCATTTCGTGGTTGTGAAAATTATATTTAGTGGAATTTGTTAACTGCTGTTCCCGTGTCAGTTTCGTTGTACATTTTAAAATAATTTTTAAGAGTTGAAGGATCTCTTTATAATATTTATTCAACAGTTTTTTAATCGTTCTTATTCAAACACATTTGATTGTCCGTTTGATTTTTAACCGATTATTTTTTAGAGAAAAAAGGATGTCTTCAGCTTCGGCTGTAGTAGACCGTACTACACGTACGCGTACCTTATCGGTGGATGACAACTGCTGTCCGGTCTGCCACGAGACCATTGAAATCTACGCGATAGGGATGTGCAATCATCCCATTTGTTTCAGGTGCTCGACCAGGTTGAGGATTCTCTGCGAACAGAATGACTGCGCTATTTGCAGATCCAATCTCAAACACGTGAGTTCAAGTTTTGCTGTTTTTATTTCATTTTATTTTGATTTAGCCAGTTTTGGTTTGGGGCTACCTCAAATACAACTTGTTGACTGCTTGAATATGAATTTTTTCTCTTGGGATGACCACGATTTATCAGTTCATTGAGCTATAACACCACCATGTTGTATAGATTGCACCACAGTAGTGTCTCGTTTATTTATGACTTATGTAATGTAAAGCGTAATGGCATAAGCATGCATTTAGTAATTTATCAATATATGACTTGTTTTTTTTATATTTGATTAGGTTGTGTTTATAAAAAAGAAAGAGAAGTTTGAAAAGATTGCTGTACATTCTTTCTGCCTCTCCAAGGATGTCATGATTTTCTCAGAATCTGAGGAAGTAAAACAGAAATATCAGGACCTTCTCAAACACAAGTTGGCTCTCTTTCCTAATTTAGAAACATTTATTTTTCTATTTACAAATGTTAAAACTTGAAGAACTAAAAGTTATTCATTGGTTAGATCTTGATTTTAGTTATTTCAACTCAGAATATTTTTTCAAAATAGTTGCTTTGTAGTTGATTGACAATCTTGATTCATATTATTATTATAATAATAATGATCATCTATTATAATAATCTATAATTTTTTTTGAGAATTTGTTATTTTTTTTATAACCTGCTTGCTAAAATTGATAAACGCAGGTGCAAGTTATGTAACAAAGAAGAGGAGTTTGGCAGTTTTACGCTGTTGAAGAATCACATGCGAGACATGCACTCTCTTCTCTCTTGCCAGCTCTGCCTCGAACATCTCAAAGTCAGCTAACTGTGGTTTTTATAAATTTTACTTTATCAAGGATGTCATTATTTATGTATTGTAATTTACGTTAGAATGATAGAAAATACATTGTGTGCTCCCATATATTCTATAGTGGTTGATTAAATAATGAAACTGATTTGAAAATTCAATGTTAATTAATTTACTTGTATTTTCATTTGTCTGTTTTTGTTCATGTTCCTTCTCTGTTCACATGTTCATTCACTGTTGTTCATCAACTTTGTTCATGTTCATGCATGTTCACGTGCTGAATCTTGAAAAGATCAATCATGTACATTCTCATCAATCCAGCTCTTCTCTAGCGAACGAAAGTTTTACACTCGCCAAGAGATGGTGCAGCACAAAAAGTTTGGTGATGTGAACGACAAGTCATACAAGGGTCATCCACTCTGCAAGTTTTGTGACGAGAGGTACTTTGACAACGATGAACTGAACAAACATCTGAGGAAGGCTCACTTCTACTGCCACATTTGTGAAGAAAATGGAGTCACCGGGGAATACTATTGGTCGGTTGATTTGTTGCTTAGTTGAATGGTTAATTTTGGTTTCATTGACTGGTGGGTTATGGATGGACAAGGCATTTGACTGTAGTGTTTGCATTTTGATGATTTATAAATGAAGTAGTTGAGTCAGATTATAAGTTTAATTAATATGTTTAATTTTGTAAAATTAGGTTGACTCTCACTCATATTTTATCTGAGACACGTTCAGCTCATTTAATGATCGTTCGGACCTGCCAATCATTCAACCGTTCCTCCATTCAACCACTCATCCCTTCTTCACTTGTTCATCCGTCAACCCAACAGCCAGTACAGTGACCTGCACGTGCACTTCAGGGAGCAACACTTTGTGTGTGAAGAGGGGCCGTGCAAGGATGCCCAATGGAGTAACGTCTTCAGGTCTCAGATTGATTTGAATGCCCACAAGCTGGAACAGCATAGTGCCTCAATGGCTAGGTCTGACAGAGGACAGTTGAGAGTCATTAACATAGATGTGAACTATCACAACCCACGTCAGTCTGCTGCAGCTGCTGACGTGGCTACCAACAACCTCGACAGACTAAGAGGTTTGTGGCTTCTTGTTCGTAGGAAGTTGGAGTGACATTTCTCAAAAATTTGTTTCCTTCTTGATGATCAGAATAATGGGATGTTTAAATGAATTAACTTTTTTTTCCTCCATCAATGTTTCAAATTTTTATTTCTGTGGGTCGGCGCCATTCAACAAACTGTTTACGACTGATTTGTTATTCAGTTTTGATCTTGAGTGAAGTGTTTAATAATAATAATATTGATGATTAATTATTATTAGGTCAGCGATATCGAAACAACAAAAGACAGCAAGACAGGTTTGTTAAAATGAATTTATTAAATATAAAAATTATTAATTAATAAATTTCACTAATTTGATAATATAATTTGAAATTATTTAATTTCACTAAGTTCAAACTAATTAGTGCAGAGATTGATACAGCGTACGCACATGGCATATGAAAATTTAAATGACAGGAAAGTTATTTAATAATGCAAAATATAAATTGTACTGCATAAAAGATATAAATAGCAAGCAAGATAAACATTGAACAGGATGGATTTGGAGGCGGCACAAGCCCTCTCAGCAAGCTTGGCTCAAGTGGAAAAACAAGGGTCCATCAGTGTCATGAACCACGAACTCGCCAGTGTCATAATGTCCGCCCGCCAACCTTCAGTATTAACCAATCAACTGTCAGCTTCCAATCAAGAAGCAGCCAATCAAGGTCTTTCCATTCAGCAAAGTGAATTTCCTGATCTGCGGGGGAACGTTTCAAATGTGGTTAAGCAGCAAAATGGTTCATCACAAACTCCGAACACGTCAGTACCACCACCATCCACATCAGCGTCTCAAGCGCCAGAACCTTCCATGGCTAACAGACTTGCAATGACGCGTGGCCTTTCGGTTAGAAGTGGCCAGTTATTTCATACTGAATTTCCAAGTTTGAATGTCAAGACGACCAAGAGGCCAGCCCTGCCAAAGAGCTCTGTCTGGTCCAAGACAACACCATCCACGAATTCATCCACCACCAAGTCTGAAGCGCACACTGCGTGTCACCAAGCAGGTCCCAGCAGATCAAAGATGGCTCTTCAGTCAACCGTGGCAGACGACTTTCCAGCACTGCAGAGCAACAAAAAGAAAACCAACCAACTACCGAACCAAACAAACGATTTCAAACAGAGCCAGTCGGCAGGCAACTTGCAAAGCTTAGCCATGCAGTGGATCGGCACGACAAACACCGATAGTCGTCGTGATGGTGGAAGTGAGGAAGAGGAAGATGGTGATGATGCTTATTCACGATTGGGTGCTGTCGGTGGGAGGTGGATAAACAAGAAGAGAGATGATAACAGGAACGGTGATGTGGAGTTCACCAAAATGGAAAACAATATGGTCAAGCTGACTAAAAAAAATGTGAAAAATGCTAATTCAAGTCATCATCCCACTGTTACGACATCAAATAAGTTTGAAGCTTTCGAGCAATTGAAACCAACTCCTACTCAAAATCATGATAAGCATCAGCAAGTGAAACATCAGCTGCCATCCCAGCAGTTAAAAGATAAAACAACTACCATTAATGAGAAAAAAAATAAGAAGAACAAAAAGAATAAAAATAAAGTGCATCACGAGGGTAAAGTTCCATCCAACCAACCGAAGGAAAACGAAGCAGTGCCCAGTATGAATACCAGTGCAAATACTAACAATGCAGCACTGAGTGATGATGATAATAAGAAGAAGGAAGGTATCAGAACATCTGCTGCAAATAACAATTCTGATGGTTCAACTCGGGAGGGTGAGGACTCTGCAAACATGTTCGAAGATGCAGACGAAGATTTTTCCGGAAATGAGGTGAAGAAGAGCGTAGAGAGTAGGGATACTGCTGGCGGTGATGGAAAAGTGGGTGGTGGTGAAAAAAGCATTGATAGACTGATGGATGGTAGATTAAAGGGAATCATAAAGGATGATGTTGTCTACACTCACTTGTCCAGTCATGAACATTTTCCACCGTTGTCTTCTATGTCATCATCGTCGAAGTTGACATCATCTTTATCATCGCCGTCAGTTGATGCGGAAGCAACGAGCAATGTGCCTCGAGCAACATCATCCGCACCGACTCAACAACACTCGCTGTCGTCTTCATCATCGTCGTCATCGTCAGTTGTTAATACGACTCCGCAAATTTCGTCATCACCTTCAGCACAGTCGTTGTCGTCATCGTCCTTAGTTCAACCTGGCTCGACATCTTTATTGCAACTTCCCACTCGACCATCAACAACAATGCAACAGTCCTCGTTACCATCGTTATCAACATTATCAGCATCACAACAACAACCTGCACCGTCGTCTTCATCATCTGCATTCAGACCGCCTCCTGGCTTTCAATCCATAGTTAAACCACCACCACCAGGTTTTGCATCTATGCCAGTGCAAAGAACACCGCCAGTGTTAACGTCTGCAGCTGCTGCAACTTCAACAACAATATCTTCCATATCAACATCAACGGCAGTATTACCTTCAGAAGTAACAAATCTTACATCATTTTCAACAATGAAAGACGTTGAAAGGGATTTCCCCAAACTACCTAGCAACGGACCACCGGGCTTCAACACTAGACCTTCCAATGCCGCTACCACTAATAATGTTTCTTATAACAGTGACAAATTCCAACGACTCCGGCAATCCCTAATAGACTCATGCAGCAGTTATTTGGCTGAATCATCACATTCGGGTCTCTTCAATGTTATTGCTTCATCTGTGCAACTTTTGAATGAGGGTCGCACCACTGCCGCAATCTTCCATCAAATGTGTCTCGATGAGTTGACCAAAATTGTGTCCACGTCAGCATCGGCAGCAACAACATCCTTGGCTTACGACTTATTGAGCGGCGTTTTGACGGAGTTGTTGCAGTGTGTGAAGAGTTTTGAGTTGAGGTCGCAAGTGCATCAGGTGCATCTCAGTAGGAAGCCACCAGGAAGTGACGTCAGTGGCATCGGTGGTGGTGAGGATGACGACGATGATGGTGCTGATCATATGAGGTCACTGCTGCTCAACAAATACTCTGCTCAAGATTTAAACTCAACTTCTTTACTGGTCAATACTGATGATGATGAGTATGATTATGGTTCTGGTGATTAACGTTGTTCTTGTTCACTGCTGTGCCCCCTTCATTTTAATGATGTGCTTCATTGCCACTTGTAAATGCTGATTATTGAGTGGTGATGATTTGAAATTTTCACGTTTATTTTGTTGTATTTTTATTTATGTTGTTTTTTAGATTCCAGTTTGATTAGAGTTTTGAGAAAAATATGAAAGATTTACTTCGCTGTTTGGAATTTACACTTCCGTTCGCTTGAACATGCAATAACACAAAAAATTATCAAATATGGATCCGCATTGCAATGTTTATTTCGCGGTAGATAGCATCGCGCCTATCGTACGAATATCTAATTTTTGAAATCGTAATTAGGCCAGGCAGGTTTCAGTGACGCTACACGAACTACGTTATAGTTAGACGGCTTTTTGATCTCTTTCTATCCACTTTCTTTGTCGTTGAGTCTGTCAGTGTACGTACATCCAAATCTCAGAAGAATCAACTAAATTCTCGCAGTCGCAGTGTGTATGTTGCCTGCTCTTAATCGCTCAAAAATTTTCACGGTGGATTGTTTCACCTAATTATGTTTGCTCATTATTACGTGTCTGTTCTACTCGTCGTTCTAGCTGTTTTCTGTTGACACCTGACATAAAGTGGTCGGTAATAACACTATCTAGTGGTTAATAATACTTTTTGTCAATTACGATCACGGAATATTGGTATTGCTACATCCTTTTATTTCTGCCATAATCTACACATGAAATAAGCCTTAGTTATATTTTAAGTAACGTATAAACTCCAGGCTTGTTAGTCTTGAAAAGTTATTGAAGATGTGTAATGCACTGCGGATATAGGTGAGATGAATAAGGAAAATGATTTTTCTTGTGAAATTATTAAAAATATTAATAAAGAATAAATATTTGGTCAATCAATCAATCAATGATAAAAAGATGAATAAACGTTGAGTACAAACTCCAAATCTAGAAAAACAAATGAAAACCTGTTAATTTTACCTTTATTCTAAGTATAAGATGGAAATTTGTAAAAGAAATGCGCTAAAATATTTTTATAAAAAATTATTTAAAAGCGAACTCGATTGTAAATGTGATTTTTCAATATGATTTTTTTAAAGTTCGAATTAATAAAATGAAAGTAAATTTTGTCAGTTCGTGAAAAGATTCTCTCTTTAATCGTTAGTGTTGAACGTATTATTTTTCATGCATGTTGATTGTAAACATCAGAAATTATGCTTTAAAGTTTTTTTTATTTTTTCAAATTCAGCTGCCCTTGCTTTTTCTTCACAGCAGTTCATTCAACGCCAGATTTTATTTTATCTAGAAGTTATTCAGCAATATTCATCATTAGTCTATGGAAAAATTTATTGAAGATTTGGTGTACCATAATGAATATGACGAAAAAACTCTTCAAACCAAATTGTCTCTACATAGATTAGATCAATATTTTGAACCAGACAAATTCATCTTGAACATTTTGCATCATGCAATCCTTGCCAAAAACTTAAAACTCATTTACGAATTATTGGTTCAGCTCAACGAGAATCCAGCTCCATGTTTAAAAACAAAATTGCCATACCTCCACCTAGCAGCTATCATTGGTTGTCCTGAGGTGGCAAAACAGCTGTGCAGATTTTTTCTAGCAAATGAGGAGGTGGAGGACAACATTTGGTGGGCATCTATAAAACATTGCCTGGAAAATGAAGATTTTATTGCTTTCATCACGGGAATTACTAGCAATGATTTTTTTTCTGTTTTGAAATCCAAATTTGAACTTCTTTTAAAAGAAATGACCAGACTTGATTTAAAACATAAATCAACAGCTATAGATGTAGCTGCTATTTGTAAAAGTGAAGAAGTGTTAAAAATTTATTTGCACACCACTCCTCTCTTAAAAAAGCCATCTAGTTCGTTTACTCTATTTGACAGAGCAATTGAGTTTAATTCTCCCAGAGCTTTTTCATATCTCACAGAAACATCTTCAACATTGACACTTTCTTCAGCATTCATTAATGCTATCAGACAACTAAGGCTGGATGTTGTTGAACGATTGATGTCTTGTGACAAGCTGAACATCACAGAGGCTCTGGGCATGTCCAATCCCTTCCACATTGCCTGCATGATGACCAGGATAACAAGCGATCGCCCAAACACGAGGTACCTGGGTCTTGATGATTTGTTTGCATTTTTCATCAAACAAGACTTTGATGTTAACAGCAAATCAGCACCAGGCCACTTCCCTTTGTACAGCCTTTTGTACTCTCTAGTTCATGAGAAGGATGTTAACTCAAGAGGTGTTCCTGAGTACCACATCCGAGCACTGACACTGTTACTTGAAGCAGGAGCTGACCCCAACTTCGATGAAACAACATTATCTAACAAGAAAATAACCTTCAACAGTTCCAGTTTGATATGTTTGTCGCCAAGAGATTTGTACATATCAGCTCTTGATGCTTATTTCAGTTGTCTACAGACATGTGACACTTGGAGCAACCATGTGATGGAACATCTGGACCAGGTCTGTTTGTTGCTGCTCGAACACAATGCCGATGCCACAAAGATGCTCTTAAACAATGAAACACCACTTCATCTGCTGGTCAGATTGGCTGCCAACCAGCACTGCATGGGTCATTTGTCTGCAGATTTTTTCTTGATGATGAGAATGTTGATGTACTTTGGAGCCAATCCAGATGCTCGAACACTGGCAAGCATCTCCTACCCGGTGCATTATTATTTCAGTCACATCTTCCACATCATGGGAGGGACCATTGCATACGATCGATGGATCAACTCGGGAGCCATTCAGCAAGTTGTAGGCATTCTAACGTATATGGATCGAGATGAAGCCAACACTGCAGTGAAGATGATTGGAGATGACATGGTAAGAACGGTGAAGGAAAATGATGGCCTTACTGAAGAGTTTGTTGAAAAAATTAATCACACGCTGCTTGATTACGTGAGGAATGTTATGAGTCTGCAGGACATATGCAAGATGACCTTGTGGAGGGCAACAGGTCGAAAGGTCAACCGTCTCAAAGGTCTCAGGCTGCCTAGAAGACTGTTTTCAGAGATCAAATCATTCTTCGCTGTCGATGTATAGTTTGTGACAGAGTTATTCAGTTAGATGACACTGTTGTAATGAAGCTTCTTTGAAAATTATAGTCAGTATATTGCACGTTCAGCCTTTGACTGTGTTCCGGTTCACGCTAGCCCAATCATTTGATGAACGTGTTGTGGATGGAGACGATCTAACAAACTGTCTTGAAGGCTTATGGTGTCACAATCAAACTGCTTTCAACACTTCACAAACATACAGCCATCTAACAACGCTGCAAAATTTCTTTTTAATCATTTCATGTGGATTTTGTCATTTTGATGGAAATTATTAGAAATAAATTTATGTTATAATGCAACTAGATTGGTGCTACTGTTATTAGATCGTTTATTAATGTCTGTGCTTGTAATGCGAGGTGTTGATTTCCCACCATCATGATGTTCAACACTACACTTGTCAGCATTGTTATCCCAATCCATCGCTTGCACTACTCACATGAACTGTTGTTATTCATCCAACTCGCATTACTCCGCGCCAATAATTTTCAAAATCTGCTTCGTGCAATGAAGTCTCAACTGAAATTTCTCCAGTTTAAAAGTGAAATCTTCAAATGAAGAGTCGTCATCATCATTTCAGCGCTAGTCCCAACAATATTATGCTTTGCAAATTTTTTTGAAATTAACTGTCATTTTAATATCAGCGTTGAGTTTAAACCTTAATTTAAGAAGATCACTATACGTTTTTCTGTCATGCTATTTTACGTTACTGAATAACCACTATTATGGAATAGGAACATTGCAGGTCATATTGACATTGAAATTTATGCATTTCATTCAATGAGCCCTTTCTATAATCACCGCGTCCATTCTGCTCTATTCAAAAAATTTCGACTTATGTTAATAGTATTATTAATTCAGTTGTTTTCATTGTTAGCTCTGTCGTTCTCATTCTTATTTTTGATTGTGCAAATTATGAATTTGTAAATATTTTAACGGTTTTACGAACGAAATTAATAAACATTTCTTAATGAATATAAAAAGAAAATATTTACGCTAGATTACACTAGATTTGCCGGACATAGTTAAATGAGTAATTCATGTCTCAAGACCTAATTTTAAGTGTTGTATGATTCTAACATTTTAAAATCAAGTTTTGTTGATTTATAAATTGTAAAACTTATTCCTTGGAACTATTTGTTTTCAAAAATTATTTCCTATTCGTCTGATACACTATTTACTTATACTTAATTTTTGTTTCAGTATGCATGGAAAAAGGTTTTTGCAAAAATCTGTAAATTAAAAATAATCCATTAAAATCAGTTTGTTAATTTTTTTTTTGAGTCTAAACAGTCGCGATGCTTCGTTTTTTTTAATGTTGCCATTTAACCACACATCATACGAACTTGGTCACTCGAGAACCATCGTAAAACTCTTATGAGCGATTGAGAATGTAGTAAGGCAAGTTCGTATTGAATCTTAGTTATAAGGACAAAAAAAAACAGTTCAGCGTAAAATTGTTCAACTTTCTTAATTAAGGTAATGACAATCTTAGTTCTTAATAAATGTCTGGGACAGTAGTCAAAATTAGACTTCTATGTAACAATTCTTATTTTAAACGTCATACTCTGTTTAAGAGGTGGCCAATGTAACATTATTGAGACAGGTAAAACCAGGAGAAAAAGGAGAGACAGACAGGGTAGGCAGCAACTTAATAACTCTAATCGAGTTCATGTTGTTCTCATATTCGGGGTTGACGCAAGGAAGATAATTGAGTTTTCTCTCCTCGCGATACGTGTAACAGAATAGTCGCTATTTAAAAATATTTGTAATGTAGGTAATTTTTCGTTAGTGCAAATTATTTAAACACTGAAAAGTCTATATTTACTATAAAATCTGATGTTTTAACGCTAGCGTTTTGTACGTCAACAAAGAGCTAGTGTTAATTTATTCAGTAAAATTCGTGAAACGATCACCAATAAAGTTATCATCAATCAATCAAATTTATTCAGCTCAATTTCTAAAAATTTAACCGGCTCAACCCAAAATTCGCATAACAGATAACAATGAAGAAGTACAAAAAATAAAATGAAACGAAATAAAATAAAGAAAGTGTATCTTCAAAAAAAGTCAGTAAGCTCTACAGATTCGAACATTGAAGAGGCAGCAAAAAAATGAATCGCTGACAAATATTTATTGCGAAATTTGTTGAATTCAAATTGCGACAGAGTGATATGACGCCGATACAAATAACATTTTCTGTTATTGTCGATGAGAATATTATTATCAGTGAAAGAGCAGAAATACTCTACATTCTAGCTCTAACATTAATGGATGAATTTGAAATGTGGTTAATTATTGCTCCAATTACAAATATATGTACCAGGAAGACTGCACACGTGGGCTAATGATTTCATTGAATTCATATGAAAAAAGCTCAAATATAAAAAAAGACTAACTCGATAACTAAAAATAATTCAAATCAGCTTTCGATCCTTACTCCTATTCTAATGACATAGGGACTTGGCACGGTGGATAACATAGTTATGAATAAGCTCTTGAGGAAGTGCTCAACTGCATAATGATTCTACACCATACTCTTTAAGTAAAGCTTCTAAATCTGCTGCTCGTTTGGTTGCTCGTGCTCCTAACGTACCTCATATATCTCCATAGCTTGTTTTCTTGCATGTTCACGTCAACTATTTCTTAGACAAATTTTTTAGCCAAAACTAAAAACAAATTAATATCGGTTTTTAAAACGAATACATGACAAAGTGGTGTTCTATATCGCATTATATACATTTCACCTTAAAACGGGCGCCACATCTTCGAAAAAAATCCAACTTCAGTTAATTGGATCAGCTGCTTAACTGAACGACCCTCTCCAATTCCAATTTGATGCGGCTTGGTTAACCGGTTCCTACTACGTGCATTGCCTTAGTGCTAATGGACATCTTCGTTTACGCTGGAGGAATTTAAACGGCTGACTCACGAATAGAAACGGTTGACACATTTTAAAAATAATGTTATTATTTGAAAATTATGTTACAAATTAATTATATAATCGGTCAGAAATTTTAAAAATCAAATGTGTACACTAAACAGAATTCAGTTGCAATTAAATTTTCAATAATGAACCGGCAAAAAGTGAGATGCAGATGCAAAGATAGTTCGTTAACAAAAACATCTGCCTTACATAATTCTTATGTGAGGTAATGTAGTCGAATATATTCGCTCCAGTGTGTCTGTATGTGAATGTGTGTGTGAGTGTATGTGTGTGAGAGTGTATGTGTGTGTATGCGTGTGTGTATTAAAGGTATGTGTATAGTAGTATCTCATGTATGGTTGTGTATTGTTTGTATTATACACATTTACTTGTACAAGCATTTCGGCGTGATTCGATGTTTCTTGTTATTGTTCGTGGATGAGCATGTAGAAGAAAATTTGAGAAAAAGGTTGAGTTGAAACAAAATAGTTTTTTTTTCTAAATTATCAACAACAAACAACTGACAAGACATTATTGACAATAAAATCTAGCGCAAGTTGTTCAAATGATGTGATTTTGACGTTGTGAATGTGGATGAGAATTCGTTTCTAGTAAGTAACGAAGTTCTGTTGAATTAAATTAATACCTAAGTTGCCAGAAACAACTCGGTACTAAAAAAATTTCAATCCATAATTAATAACAGTAACAAGCCCATTAAAATCAGTATGAAAACAAAGTAAGGTTGCACAATGAACTGGCAATGTATTCCAGAAACGCATAGAGAAAAGTGAATGACTTAAAAGAATGCAGATCAGACCAGAAGACGAATCTAGGTGTAAGTTTATTTGATGTAATTGATTAATTTAAAAGCCTTCCTTTCATTACTGGTAGATGATTTAAATTATGTAAATTATAGCCTGTTATATTATGAATTAATTAATTAATTAATTTACAACAAATGAATTAATGAATGAATGATGGATTGAATGAATGAATGAATTTATTTATCAGTTAATTAACGCGTGAACGAACGAACGAGTATAAGTTGTAAGTATTGCACACGTATCACAAAATATGTTTGTTCAACACCACACAAAAACGCACACGCACCACACACACAAACATACACATATATACACACACACGCACACATATACTCACATATCACAACCACACACACACAACACACAAATATTCATGTGTGTTTTTATTTGTTAGCAAGGCACGTTAATTTTACTAGTCAAATAAATTGTTAAATGATTGACGATGACTGAGTAATTTTAAACAGTAGACTTTTCAGAATTATTATTAAAATACATAAATAAAGTTATTTATAATAATTATTAATAAAAATTAAACAATATTTTCACAACTGTCTCGTACAGTTGTGTGAATAGATGAATGAATGAATGACCGAAAGAAATGATTGACTTGAATGGTGAATGAATGAATAAATAAATGAAAGATTAATCGATTGATTGATTGATTGACTGACTGAGATTGATTGAGTGACTGACTGATTGATTAGTTAAATAAATGAATGAACGAACAAACGAACGAAACGAACGAATGAACGATTGAATGAATACATAAAATATTGAATAAATGAATGAATCAGTGATGGAAGGATAGAATAAGTTAATCAATGTGATTATATGAAGCTATTAACTGAACAAAAGAATTAGCTAATTAATCATAAATGCATAAAAGGAAATTTAATTGTATAACATGTCAGGTACAAAAAAAAACTCGAACACAATAAGCTAACAATAATAGATTAATGGAATGTACATTAATGAGTGAAAAAACAAATGAATGAATGATTCAATCAATCAATCAATCAATCAATCAATCAATCAATCAATCAGTCAGTCAGTCAGTCAGTCAGTCAGTCAGTCAGTCAGTCAGTCAGTCAGTCAGTCAGTCAGTCAGTCAGTCAGTCAGTCAGTCAATCTGTCAGTCAATCAACCTAACAAACCAACCAACAAACGATTGAGTGAATGAATAACTTCATTCATTTTTTTCACTTATTCTATATCACGGAATAAACGAACAAAAGCTAATTGGCTTGTTAATTAAAACTAAACTAAACATAAGTGAATTAGATGAATGGATGAATAAATGAATGGATGAATGAATGAATGAACGAGCAAACGAATGAATGGATAAAAGAATGAAGAAATGACGAAAGGTATAAGCTCATAAAATTATAAATAAAAAGAATTTGAGCCAGTTAATAGTATTTGTTAATTTTTTATAGTTAAAATAGGCTGCAACAAATCAATTATCCAATTAAATTGTTGCAATTAATAATGGATTAAGTTTTTATTGAATTTTAATTGATTGGAGAGAGTTTTGAAGAAATTTGTCAAGTTAGCAAAATTGAAATTGAAAAAATTTTGTCTGGCCATTTATAGCAATCACAACGTTTATAAAAATGAATAAATAAATAGTTACATTTAAACATATATAAGTGCCTGTCTGTGTGTGTGTGTCTTTGTATGTGTGTGTGTGTGTGCGTGTTTTTGTGTGTGTGTGTGTGTGTGGAAGTACTGAAAAAAAAATATTTTAATGGGTGTGAAATGGGATGGAATAATTTGTGGTGGGGGCTTTTCATGCGTTAAAGATGACATCATCGTCGAAAATGACGCCTTCATCATCATCATCATCATCATCATCATCATCATCATCATCATCATCATCATCATCATCATCATCATCAATACCATCATCACCTCAATGGTCAACAGTAATATCATCAACACCATCATCATCATAGTCGTCAACACCATCGGCATCGTCGTCGTCAACATCATCATCATCATCATCGACACCATCATCATCATCAACACCATCATCATCATCATCAACACCATCATCGTCTTCAGCAGCAGCTGGAGTAGCTTCATCGACCACAACAGCAGCCTTCAATATGTTTTTATTATCATTGGCAAGTAATACGTCATCGATTCTTATTGTCTGCATCTTATTAGATTGCGATATTTTTATCCGTCGTTGATTTATTTATTGGGAGATATATTTAAATTTTAACACGCTTCTATTTTTCAATTTGCTCATCCATCCTATTACAAGGGACAGGTGAAATGTGCAGGTAAACGCAGTGACAACAACACACAAAATCATTGTCATAATCTTCACTTCCAGCAACAACAGCAACAACAACAACAACAACCAGCAACAACAACACCAACAACAACAACAACAACCAGCAATAACAACCAACAAAAACAACAACAACAACCAGCAACAACAACCAGCAACAACAACAACAACAACCAACAACAACAACCAGCAACAACAACAACAACAACCAGCAACAACAACAACAACAACAACCAGCAATAACAACAACCAGCAACAACAACAACAACAACCAGCAATAACAACAACCAGCAACAACAACCAGCAACAACAACCAGCAACAACAACCAGCAACAACAACAACAACATCTCCATCGACGTCATAATCGCTGCTAGCATTGAAATTTTAATTTTTTTTGAAAATTCATTTCGCAATGCGCCATAATGTGATTACGAATAATTAGGAACTGGCATAATTTGAAAAAAGGGTAGGCATATAATTACAGATCATCATCGTCGTCGTCGTCATCATAATTATCATCATAACCATAATCTTCATCATCAATCATCATCATCACCATCATCATCATCATCATCATCATCATCATCATCTTAATAATCTTTATCATCATCATCATCGTCGTCATCATTGTCATAATCATCGTCATAATTGTTATCATTATCAGGATCTTCATCATCATCAACAACATCATCACCATCATCAACATCATCGCCATTATTATCACCATGATCATCTTCATCATCATCGTCATCATCACCATCATCACCATGATCAGTGATGGTGAATGTTCTTGAGAACGTGCCATCTCTCGAAGAACTGGTTGTTGTTGTTGATGACCTCCATCCAGTGGCTCTTCTCTTTCGCCCCAGACTCCGCCCCCAACATTATCCCGCCTGGAAGCAAAATTATCATTCATGTTAACATTTTTTTCATTGATAGTGTCATTAATGTTAATGCTATTGCGATTATCACTATTGTTATTGATGTTATTGATGTTGTTAAAACATTCGGTGATAACACCATTGGCATTTTTGCAGAACTTCAACTCGAAAAATAGCGAAAAAACACTGAAAACAACAACAACAACAGAAACACACTCAACAACACATGCAACTGTAGTGTTGTTGATGAAGCGGTTGGAAAAGTTGTTTTTGAAGTTTTTGCTATTTATCACTAGACCAATCTGTTAGGCAAATGTAGCCAACATGCAGCCGTGAAATATTATAAATGATCGATTGTCCTGGGTCCTAGGTTCGTTTCAATTTAAAATTCATTCAAACATTCCCAGATTTTTACCAACATGTTTTCGAGTAATTTTGAATTGTCAGTTGTCAAATAAAGTGTGAAACAATGAATTGTGATATTAATATGGTTTATTTAATAAGATAGCAACAACAGTACCACCAACAACAGTACCACCAACAACAACAACAAAAATTGCAATAGCATGCCTATATATTCATTCCTGGCGAAGTCTTTATCCCAGACGGAAACATCCAATGTCTTGTTTATCAGCTCGTTGGTCTTTACGCTGTAAACGAATTCCTGTTAGGTTTGTTGTTGTTGTTGTTGTTCGCATTGCTGTTGTTGATGTTGTTATTGTTATTGTTGATGTTGTTGTTGATAATTTTGTTGTTGTTAACATTGTTGTTGATGATGATGTTGTTGTTGACATTGTTGTTGATGATGATGTTGTTGTTGACGTTGTTGTTGTTGATGTTTTTAAAGTTGATGCTATTAGTGAAGCGTCCTTTCCAAAGTGTTGGTGGATAGGTTGTTGCAGGTGTTGAGACGACGATAAATGAGCCAACATTTTTCTAAACTCTTGCCTAGGCCAACATTTTCGTTTTTTTTCAGAAAATTTTTCTTTCCCTAACTTTTGCCAATTTCATCAATCTCATTTCACTAGAAGCCGATCATTTGGAAAGGTCATTCATCTATCCAGATACCTCCGAGCACTTCATTTGCAATCAATTTTAACAAGATCCAATTTTCTCACTCTAGTTTCCACAGGATTTTTCTTCCTTATATATAAAGGTTAATCTCTCTCTTTTGCATTTGCTTCAGAAGTTTCAACGACAAACACACACAGCGTATATGAATAAGCGTGCAAACCACGCATCATACACATTGCGTATTCGAACCCAGTCATAGCAATTGCAAGACCAGGCGACTTTAACCAATGAGCCATCACATATACTTTTTAGAACTGTTAGATTTGCCCATGTATGATCAATTTTATTTGGTCACCGTATTCTGCCTCGTGCATCAACATCCACAGTGTCAAACTTCACTGGATCATTCATACCCACAGCTTCTAAAAGACTCGAACGTTTTGGTTCAAGATGTTTTTTTTCGATACATTTCAGCCATCTATCTAAAAGCTTCTGTAAATCATGAACTAGGAGTGAATGGGTTGTTGGTGCTTTGGAAATTCTGCTTGTCGTTGGTATGGCGGTCGATAAAGTGGTTTTCGAGGTTTCGATTGTTTGTTATTAAACTCCACCCTTCAATGCACGTCAGAAAAATGAACAGCAACAAACACACAGTGAATGTAAATATGGGTGAAACAACCCCCCACACTTATTGCGTGCCTGTGATACAAACAAAACAACAAATACAACATTTTCAACAACAGCATGAAAACAAAAACAACAACAACAACAACAACACTGCCAAGACAACATCAACAACAACATAACGAAGACACAAATATAGATAGACGCACTTCGTTAAATTCTGGATTCAATGTTTTTGACTGAACTTTTGTCTTGAACTTGCTTTTCTTGTCTTTATCTGGTCTCAAATATCTGTGATGATGTTGTGCTTGTAATGTGCGTGTGTGTGTGTAGTGTGTGTGGTGTGTGTGTGTGTGTGAGTGTGTTTGGGGCTTTTGGCTTTAACTCTTGTTTTGTTTAACTTAAAAATTAATTTTTCAATTTAAAATAAATTTAATTAAAAAGCAAATAAAGTTGAAAAACAATTTAAATTTTAAAACTAAAATTTCAATCGCATTAATACGTTCACATAAATCAAGGACTAATTTGAAAAGCTGTTAAATAAATTTAAATTTGAACAATCATTATATTTACATTAAAGGTAGTTTAAAACATTATTAAAACAAAACAATTCTGAAAAATCCACAATTCCACCATATAAATCAATTAACTAATCAACCAATCAACCATAAACCATCCAATGAACGAGTCGACCAGCCAGCCAACCAACCAACCAACCAGCCATTTAACTAACCAACCAACCAACCAACTAACCAACTAACCAACCAACCGACCGACCGACCGACCGACCGACCAACCAACCAACCAACCAACCCGCCGACCAACCAACCCACCGACCAACCAACTAACCAACCAACCAACCAACTAACAAACCAACCAACCAACCAACCAATCAATCCCTTGTGATCAACTCAACTAACAGTTTAACGAAAGGATCAGAAAACCCATTAGAGTCCATTGCGACGAGGTTGGCGCACCTCTTGATGGCGATGTGCAGCTGGTTGCGGGAGGAGTTGTACATCATGCCGACCAATATCCGACCCCGATCGTGGTCACTTACCTTTCGCATTTCCTCCTCCTCATCCTCCTTCTTTATCACCTGGTTAAGTGTTGTTGTTACAGTCGTTAATGTTTGTTGTTGTTTGTTGTTTACTGTGTCATGTCATGTTGTGTCATGTTGTTGAAATACTAAATGTTAGCAGCAAGGTGAAGATCTGCACGTGTTTTGAAACACGTGCAAGCGAGAATGCTTCATTTCAATGCCGAAAAGGTTTTTGTTTTTTTCTTAATTAATTTTACTGACTTCTAATTCACATATACGCTAAATAAAAATGTGTTCGCTAGTTTGCTCTTTTACTTTCACTCACTCACTCTCTCGCCGCTCGCTCGCTCGCTCACTCACTCACTCACTCACTCACTCACTCACTCACTCACTCACTCACTCACTCACTCACTCACTCACTCACTCACTCACTCACTCACTCACTCACTCACTCACTCACTCACTCACTCACTCACTCACTCACTCACTCACTCACTCACTCACTCACTCACTCACTCACTCACTCACTCGCTCCCTCGCTCACTCACTCACTCACTCAGTCTCTCTCGTACTCACATGCCCTGATTACAAGAGACACAGCAGATTACTTTTATTTGAGCAATTTTCATATCATTAGCCTCAGATGGCATGCATGCGCTACGCATTCTCAATAGATGAATGGACAGCACTGATAAACATGGATACAGATGGACAAATATATAGAGCAGGAGTGGGCAAACTTTTTGTGGTGAGGGTCGCATTGAAGCTATTTTAACTTTGGCGGGCCACACATGTACATTTGGCGTCGGGTGTTAGTTTGTCTGATTTATAGAGGAACATGGATATAAAGAGAAAAGAAGGTAGAGTAAGAAGAACATTTCCTCAATATCTTCATCCAATCATTTGAGATCTCATCTTTTCCATTGTTCACCTGCTGCTAAGAGAACTGACAACTTATATGTTACCATACCATGTTAATAACAACATTGATCAATGATCGTCCTAGTCAAGTTACACATCAATCTTGTTATTTTAGTCTCATAAATCTATTGCTATTATTATTGAAAATAAATGGCTGGAGAAATGAAGAACATAATAAAAGATAATATAATATATCAATGTTACAGGTAATATATCTGTAACATTGTAAGTGGTTCTGTGTATGTCAGAGCTGCAATTATAAAGACAAAAAAAAACAATAATAATTATTAACGTTTTGATTATTCGTATGTGAATTATTACAAATATGAAACAAACTTGTAGGCCGGACAAATACACACTGTAGTCTTTTGTTCGGTCTGTGACCAAAGATTTCAACATGATCATAGTCTCGCCTGAGTGTTGTTGTTGTTGTTTGTTTGTTGTATGTTGTAGAGTTGTTTTGTGTGTGTTTAGTAATGTTAGTTGTTTGTTATATCTGATTGTTTGTTGTTGTTGTCTGTTTGATTTTTTTTTGTTTAATAATGTTTTTCTTATTATGTGTAGCTGTTTTTTGTTGTAGTTGCTTGTTTTGTGTTTGTTTGATATGTCTGATATTTTGTTGTTGTTCCCTGCTTGCTTGTTTGTTTTTTGTTTGATTAGTAATTATGTTTGTTTATTATGTGTGATGGTTTGTTGTTGTTTGTTTGCTTATACTTTGTTGTTGTTTGTTTGTTGTTGATGTTATGTTGTTAGTGTTGTTGTTGTTGTTCACATTAATGTTATGTTGTTGTTAGCGTGTTTTATTTCGTCGTGATCGTAACGAATGCGTTAGTTTCTGTCAGAAAAAAATGAATTTACAGCAACCTTGCACCAACAAAACTTCGCATAAACACCCCAGTTCCTAATTAAATTAAATTCTTTGCCATTTTTATGGTGCAATTAATTCAGATGAAGTGTTATTACTGCAGTTGGTGATGTTGTTGCTGTTGATGTTGTTGTTGATGTTGTTGTTGTTGATGTTGGCATCAGTGAGGATTTTGTAGTAGTTGTAGTTGTTGTTGATGTTATTATAATAGTAGTAGTAGTAGTAGTAGTAGTATTAGTAGTAGTTATAGTTGTCGTTGATGTTTTTGTAATAGTAGCAGTAGTAGTAGTAATAGTAGTAGTAGTAGTTGTTGTTGTTGTAGTAGAAGTAGTAAAAGTAGTAGTAGTAGTAGTTAACATGGAAACATTAACCTCGAAATTATAACATAAAAACAATAACATAGAAACAATAACATAAAAACAATAACATAGAAACAATAACATAGAAATAATAACATAGAAACAATAACATAGAAAGATTAATACAGAAACACTGAAAGATGCACATGAAGATAAATGGTTGAGTTTGCCTACCTATGAATTTGCTACTTAGTCGGGTTTCATCAAACACTGTGATCCTGATGACGATGGGTGGTGATGATGATAATGATGATGATGATGATGTTGTTGAGGATGATGATAACATTGACGGTATGATAATGATTGTAATGACGATAGTGATGATGAAAATGATGATGACGACGACAACGATGATGATGATGATGATTGTAAGAATGATTATAATAATGATAGTGAGATGATGATTGTGGTTGTGGCATGAAGAAGATGAAAACGAAGACTCTTGATTTGAAAGCAACATCACCATCATCATCATCACCATCGTCATCACAATCATCATCATCGTCATCATTATCATCACCAACATTATCATCATCACAATCACCATCATCACCATCATCACCATCACAACCATTACCATTATCGTCATCATCCCACCAGCATCATCATCATCATCATCATCACCATCATCAACATCATCATCATCACCTCAACATCTTCCTCTGCAGGTCTTCCTCCTCCACGCCATGATACTCAACTGTTTCGTCAAATTCTGGATTCCTCGTCTTTATTTTCGTCTTCGTTCTGCGTTTTGTTGCCTGTTGTTGTTGTGTTTGTTGCTGGGTTGTTTGTTTTATTGTTGTGTTTGCTGTGCTGTTGTGGATTTTGTTGTGTGATTGTTGTTGTGTTTGGTGCGTGATGTACGTTTGCTGTATTGTTGTTGTATTTGCTGTGTTGTTGTTGTGTGATTGTTGTGGTTGTGTTTGTTGTTGTGTTTGTCGTTGTGTTTGTTGTTTTAAATGTGTTTATGTTGTTTGGCTTAAAACCCCATTCAGCCACATTTTTTTAGAAATTATTTCAAAGTTTTTCACATTGTCCGTCTAACTAACCCTAACCAACCAACCAATCAACCAACCAGCCAGCCTGTCAACTAATCAATCAGCGAATCAATCAATCATCCAACCAACCAGCCAACCAACCAGACAATCAATCAACCATCCAACCAACCAACCAGCCAGCCAGCCAGCCAACCAACCAACCAGCCAATCAGCCAATTAACCAACCAAACAGCCAGCCAACCAACCAGGCAGCCAGCCAATCATCCAATTAATCAACCAAACAGCCAGCCAACCAACCAACCAGCCAATCATCCAATTAATCAACCAAACAGCCAACCAACCAACCAACCAGCCAATCAGCCAATTAATCAACCAAACAACCAGCCAGCCAACCAACCAACCAACCAATCAATCATCACCTTGGACAAACCAGGCAGCATGTTCAACTTAACGAACGCATCACATGTACCATCCTTGTTCATTGCTGGAAGATTCTGATGATGATGATTGTTGTAATGGTAATGATGTTGATAACGATAATGATGAGATTAGGCAATGATGAAGACATTAGTAATTGAGGTGTCACCAAAACTCAACAACAACGTCATTTTCGTCAGCATATGTGATGGCCTATTGTTAGAAGTCACATGACTTGTCTTATAGTGACCTTGTTCGAATGCTAAAAGATTCCCACCCCATGGCGTGCTCTTGTTGTTACTTGCGTAGGTTGTCCACTTTAAGACATCGACAACATCAAAAAAGTCGTCTGGTTGAGTTGGCGCTTCTATGTAGGTAGGTGACGTGGCTGGCTGGTATCGCGCTTAGAGAAAGGTGCGTCTCACTGATAGTCGTAATCTCACTTAGATTTCTAGTTTTCTAGGTTTCATCTAGGTTTCTTGAATTATCTGCGACTAGTATGTCAAGCTCCAGAAAAATATATTAGAATTAGTGTGCTTGGGAAAACACTTTCCAGAAGAAAAAAAGCTTCTTCTATGTGTAGCAACATCAACAACAACGTCAGCAACAACATCAACAACATCATAGACAACATCAACCACAACATCAACGGCAACATCAACAATATCGAGAACAACAACATCATCATTAACAACATCAACAAGAACATCAATAACAACAACATAGTGTAATTTTCACTGGTCTGGTAGTTACAACAACAATAACAACATCAACAACAACAACAATAACAACATCAACAACAACAACCTTAGCTCTGACAATTGTGCATTTGAGTAATTTCTCTTTGTTGATGTAATGCAAGTTGAATTCAATGATGCCATGGGTTGTTGCTGTAATGTATTGGAATGAATGAGTGAGTGAGTGAGTGAATGAGTGAGTGAGTGAGTGAGTGAATGAATAAATGAGTGAGGTATTAAGTGAGTGAATGAGTGAGTGTATGTGAGTGAGTCAATAGATCATAAGCTGAATTGATGATTTGATATTTGACAGTTTGATTGGTTGAAGCATGGACACCAGTAAAATAAAATTTGATTTATTATTTAGGAGCTCTGTCTGAAGTGAACTTATGTATAAATGAACAAATGAATGAATGAATGAACGAATGAATGAATGAATGAATGAACGAACGAATGAATGAATAAATGAATGAATGAATGAATGAATGAATGAATGAACGAATGAATGAATGAATGATGAATGATGATTGAATTTAATCAACGGAACTTCCTAATACGTATAAAGTATCATGTACTAGATCTAAAAAACGCTGTTGGTTTTTTTTAATTTTTTTTCAATAGCCATTAAAACAATTTGTTTATTTGTAAATTATTTTAATTTTCCAATTTATTCTAAAAGTTTGATTATCAACTGACAACAACCTTACCAACAAAAATATAAAATCATAAATTAAAATTTTCTGTTAAAAATGGCCGAAACCTTGGTGAGCAGTTAAAAAATGTTTTGGAATAATCAATTCAACCAAAAATATATTACTTCCACAGCTTAAAAATGTTAACACTATCTTTTTTTCCACAAAAATCTTCATCGTCATCATCATCACTACAATCATCTTCTTCATCATCAGCGTCGTCGTCGTCATCTTTATCATTATCATCATCTTCTTCATCTTTATCATCATCTTCTTCGTCGTCATCATCATCATCATCATCATCATCACCTTCGTCATCATCATCATGATCTTTTTTTCATCACAAACTTTTCTTCTTCCTACTCTTCCTCCTCCTCCTCCTCCTCCTCATCATCATCCACAACGACTTCATCACCACCATTATTATAACCATCATCAGTTTCGTCTTCATCCCCACCATCATCACCATCGTTACCGGTGATGATGGTGGACTGTAGTAGTGGCGAAATAGTGAAAGACCTCGTCAGACCAGCTTTCAAAAATTATTAGCAAGAAAGATATTATTGACGGATGTGCGTAATTACTCATCATTTACACTTTGCAAAATTTCAAAAAATAATTTACTTTGTTTGTTTGTTTGTTCGTTCGTTTGTTTGTTTGTCAGTCTGTTCGTTCGTTTGTTTGTCTGTCGTAAATTCTAGGAACTGAATCTTTTATCAAATACAAAATTTTTGTATAATGGCAAGGGGAACGAATTATTTAAAATTCCAGATTTTCAAAGGTCAAGTTTTATCATAGCATAAATTAAAAGACAATCTTTTAAAAATTCCCAATAACTCCTAAGCAATTGAATAAAATTTCATTCAATATTTTAATAAAAAAATTATTTAAAAAATAGATTAAATGAGTGCAGTTGAAAAAAAGAGAAAATTATTATTTTATTTTTTTTTTAAATTTTTGATTGAGAAATGAAAAGCTTGAAAATTATAAAATTCAAACTCGAAAAAATCTTTAATCCTGTTATTTTAACAAACAAACGATCCAAGTAGCCATTAAAGAAGATGTGAGCATTGATCGTAGCAAGCAGGTGTGTTATGTTGTAGGAGTTGGAATACGAATGGAGATGAGTGCAACATCAATTAACACGTTGTTTCAAATTGATTCATTTCAAATTGAGATGGACTCTATGAACTTGCGTCATGAATAGTCGAGAGAAACAATTTAAATGAATCCATGATTAATTGTTTAAATACTTGGTATTATTTTATTTATTCAATATTTAAAATGGTCACCGGTTTTGGCATTTTGTTAACTGTTTTAGATGAATGTCAGGACTGTTTCCCCAAATTACGTTGCAATAGATGAGGTGAGGAAAGATTAACGAATAATACAGGTCAATTAGAGTAGGTTTATTTAATTTATTTTTAATTTTGCTTATAACTCCTAGGGTTTTGCATATTCTTTTAGACATAGTATCTATGTGAATATCCCAAGAAAGATTGTCCTTGATTGTTACTCCAAGGAATTTTGTGCTGGTTGAGCGAGGAATAGAAATATTGTTCATTTTTATGTCTAGGTTAGGTATAATATTTGTTAAAATTTTCGGACCAAAAATAATGTAATTACATTTAGAATAATTTACTATTAATTTATTTTTGATAAACCAGGTTGATATATTTTGAAGACTGTTATTGATGTATTCTACTTCTTTCAATGGGTCTTTAGTTGGGAAGAAGATGTTAGTGTCATCTGCATATAGAAGGTGATTTGCATCAGTTGCATGTTGAAAATCGTTCATGAAGATTATGAATAGAAGAGGACCTAAAATTGATCCTTGTGGCACGCCTGATCTTACGTTAAGTTTTGTTGAGGAGTGACTTTTTATTGCCACATACTGGTCTTTGTTCTCTAGATAACTTTTGAACCATGCACTTACTTTTCCTCTTATTCCATGTGAATTTAATTTTTTAATCAGTATATCGTGGTTGATGACGTCAAAGGCCTTTGAGAGGTCTATGAATACACCTACAGTCAGTATCTTTTCGTTAAGATTATTCATAACATTTTGTGCTAATTGCAGCACAGCTTGCTCAGTTGAATGCTGTGCTCTGTAGCCATATTGATTATCATTTAATAATTTATTTATGGACAGAAATGAGGTGACTCTGACAAAAATTATTTTTTCTAGTACTTTGGAAAGTGGAGAAAGTAGAGATATTGGTCGATAATTACTTGTCTCTAATTTGCTCCCCTTTTTGTGAATTGGAACTACTCTGGATGTTTTGAAGCATTGTGGAAATATTCCTTGGACGATGGAAAGATTGTAAATATGAGTGATTGGGATGACAATTTCTGGGATGATTTTTTTAAGTAGATTGTTACTTAAAGTATCATCTGACGTGCTTTTTTTGTTGCTTAAGTTTTGAACAATGTACGTTACTTCTTCTTCATTGGTGGAGTTCATATACATTGATTTACAGATTGCACTATTTATTTTTAATTTATCTTCAGTAACTATTTGATTTTCTAACAGCTTCTCTGTGACATTGATGAAGTATTCATTGAAAAGAATACTTATTTCCTCTGGGTCTTCGATGATTTTGTCGTCAACTTTTAGCTTATTAATTTCAAGATTGTTTTGTTTTCTATTCATTATACCGTTTATTATTTCCCATTTTTGATTGGAGCAACTCTTTGCCTCTTCAAATTTTTGTTGAAAATAATTTTTTTCTGCCTTTCTCTTTACTGATGTAAAGTAATTTCTAAACTTTTTATATTTTTCAACATTAGCGGAGTTTGGTGCAGCGACTGCTATTTTATACAGTCGATTCTGTTTTTTTGATAATTTTATTATTTCATCAGATACCCATGCTTTTTTATATTTTTGTTTCTGCCACTGCAGAGGTGCGTATGTGTCATG